AATGAACACTATGCAGACTAACAATATATAATCACTGACTGAACACTGATTTATCTGTAGTATCTGTCAGGGTGGTCGGGTAGCTCAGTGGATAGCGCACTTGCCTTTCACCAAGGCGGATGAGGTTCGATTCCCTGACCGGACGGGAAAAGGTATGGGGGCCACCTGCCCGACCACGTGGGTTTTCTCCGGGTTCTCCGGTTTCCTCCCACATTAGGACTCCCTGCGCGCTAAAATTCATACTAACAAGAGTGATTAATATAAGTTGAAATAATTTGGGTCATAACTGTTGTAAAATAAATAAAGATTATATTTATATCAGTAGTAGCATTACTAGTATAAACAAGGACACAAATCACTGTCAGACTAATTATCATTCGAAAAAAAAACCCGATTTACGTCACGTCTGTGCGAGAACCCTATCTTGTGTGAGAATGACTTATCTTGTAAAACGAACCAATATTACCATCAATTTATAACCTTGAAAATTTGATTAACAAATTAACATATCATTATGTTTATAATCATTTAAAACATGATACAAGCATGCCTATTTTGGGTGATTATTTTACGCCACAATGTGGTTAGCTGAACTGGTGAACTATCAATAACAATTCTATAGTTTGGCCGTAAGCTTGTGGTTGGGGTTAACATAATATAATAGTTTTAAACTAAATTATCTGTCCTATCAATTTGGAACTTTTTAAAAATGTTCATTCGCTAATTTCCCCTTTCGTTGTATTTCTAAATACCGTTATGTTTCAGAATAAATTGGACATGTTTTTTTTATTATTTTGACCTGTATTACTACTGATGGAATAGCACTGAGCTATTCTACGGTCACATTTAAACAATACACTAGACACTAAGCTATACAAAATTGGCAAACTAAAAATATGTTGTAGGAAATGTTTCCTTTCCATTCTTTATCGATTTACTAAATGTTTAAAAAGGTACTTCCTAATTTCCTATGTATGGTGATTATTTTCATCAAATCAATTCAAGTAATGTTTTATTTTGTGGCGTTATAATAACGAACAAATAGATCTTTATTCAGCATTAAATCAGACCAAATCATTTTTTTCACGTGTAAACATGAACAACACATGTTGTGATTTCATGACGTCCATGAAATCGCAAAGGTTTACCTAGAGAGTAGTATTGTCAACTGAATCATACTATATATCATATATCAATGACGTGTCAATATCAATATTAACATCCTGTCACGTGTGACATTTCTAGGCGTTTAAATATGTGTGAATATCATGACTAAACGATCAATATAAATAATATTGAAAGTATCGTCATTCCCAACGAAATACAGTTTACGTAAGTTGTCCTATCACACGGTTTTGCCATTTTGACGTTAATTCTCAAAACAAAACAATGTCAATTATCTTTTGTGAAATAGTCAACAGAAAACTTCAATTAAGGAAGCATCCATTGTAAATAGACTTAAGTCAATGGAGAACGCCAAAACAATGCACCATAAGGTAACTTCGTCCATTTAAGTCTCTGTGGTAGTGAAAGTCGAAATAATGAAAACCCACGTCTTAAAGGTTTCGATACATATAAACATGTTAAAATACAGATAAATGAGGGAGGGTGCCTGTAAAACCCTCCATGAAGTTTTTAGTTTACAAATTATTATTATTTACAAAGATTATATAGTTACTAACTGGTATTTTATGTTAACCGTGCAAGAGGAAATGCCAGCTACAAGGTGACGACCAACCTCAAGTACAGATAGCCCACCAGTGGAGTCATCCGACTTGTCAGGTTAGATAACCACTATATATATGAAATAAGGAGACACCTTGTGAATATTGGGTAATTTTCGTGAAAGGGTTTTTTTTCCGCGCTATTCGTGGAAGGATTCAAGAGTTCGGTAACTCAATGCAGAAAGCCACACAAATTTAGTATTTACTTCTCCTACCACGTTTGTATGGGTCGACCGAAATTGGTCGCAAATATCTCAAGCAATGGCTCATTTAAATGGGGTTAGGATACTGTAGAGTATGTATTTTTAATCACGTATGTCACTGGTGACCAGAAGGCTTTTCAAGAATTTCCCAGAAGATATATCTATTGGCAGTCCAATGGGATGGAGAGGATGACAGGCTTATAGATTCCTTCAGACACCTGCGACAGTGTTCTTAAGGTCATTATCGTGTTCAAATTGATATTCTCTTAACTAAATCAAGTGAGTAATTCGCTTTTGCAAAAAAAATTGTGGTTGACAATATTTTGTCATCGGTGGCAAGTTCTTCCAGTGGGCTGCTGGAATACCGAAGGGGTCCTGCACTTGATCGACTTAATTTGTGATTGTATGCGAGGGTTAATTGAAAATCTTCGCAGGACAAGTAAAACAATAACTATAAATACGGAGAAAAGAAGCACCTCTTTGAAAATTTTGTTTGTTTTGTTGTAGAATGCCAAATAAAGTAAACATTTAAATGCATTATATGGCTATTTCGTCAATTTAGAACTCCTCAGAGGTAGTGAGAGGCAGAGGAATGAAAGTTCCATGCATGAAGTGTTCCGGAAGCGTGTGTAGAATATAGCCAATAGAGATGGTGCATATAAATGTCCAATAAATCCATACGTTAAAGTCGTCGGTGTAATTTACAATAGTAAGCAGAACGAATCAGAAATACTGTAAAATAATAATGTTTTCATTTAATTTGCTAGTGGAATACGCCTATTGGTACCTGTAAATATTGGTGTGTATTGACTCAATTATTTCAATGGTTGTCCAAATATCATTGTAAAAGAATGCGTTTATAATTTGTCACTGTATATGCTACATCAAATTATAATTTATTATTAAATGACAAATCATCCATATTTACAAAATCATCAATGGTGACGATTAGAATTATTTCACGTTCTCTCAATAAATTTTTGGCAAACTTTTCGAATGTTTATAATTTTGTTTGTGTTACAATTAAAATATTATCTCATATATGGAGTATTTTCCATGTGTCTTTTTGCTTTTTCTTTATTGAAACACGATTCATTTAAAAAAAAAAGCTGATGGAAACGTTACGTTCCTAATACCATGTATAATACATGACCATCATGAAACATAAGAATGTTAAGTGACAAAAAGGGTTTGTGATACGTTCTTATTAGTCACAGTTTGAAGACTACTTTTACGAATTCCAAAACCATTTTATACTTAATATCAAATTTTAAAAACATTTCTGTATTGAACGTAAATGAAATCAGGGTAACCGGTGACATGTGAATAACATGATTAATTATTCATACGATGTTAACTTGCAGGATTAAATACTGGAAGATTCGGAGACCTACTATTGAAGTACTGTATTTATATATCCTTGCTACCGCTAAGTTGTGGAGTTTATGATGTCTCGTCCTCGTTTTGATGTCTCCTTGGTTATTGTAGGACGAAATGAGAACTTGAATTAAACATGAAAATACGACAGCAACCAAAATAGACACAGAAACAAAAGAACAGACATCATGAATCCATTACAACAACAATATTTCAGTATTAGTGATGAACATTGTTACAGCCAGCTGTGATGTTTAGATTGTTGGCAATCCATTAAATCTCCTTTACTCGAAGGGAGACATCTTGAGGGATTAACACGTTGTGATGCTCTCCTCCTTTGTTTCACCTCAGTTTATGTTATAGTCTTGTCCTATCGAGTATGTGTAGAGTTTGTTTTCATATATATTTCCAGAAGTGTTTGCCTATTTGTAATGACAGTAATTCTCTCAGTGTCCTGCTCAATTGTAGAAGCGTAACAACACTGGCTATCCTTTCGGTTTCTTTTACTTTCTGTGACAAACTCATAGCTGAATGCTATTGTTCGTAGTGGCAAAATATCGAATATTAAACGAAAGCATATCCTCCACTTGTGTTCTCTGCATCGACTTTAATTTTAGATTGATGCCTCCTTAATTCGTTTTTCTAGTATCTTTTTCATGTGAGATCCAAATTATGGTATGTAATCAAATGAAATATGAATAATGTTACATTCACATTTTTTGATATTTCTGTTTATTTTGGATGTACGTTTTGTGAGATATAATTTATGTAAGATGTAAGTTATGTGATATGTAACATATATATATATAAAATAATTGACGTATCATAAGTTATACAAGATGTAAGTTATGTGAGATGCAAGATATGATATATGTAGATTATGTGAGCTGTTAGTTATACGAGATTTATATTATGTCAGATGTATGATATATAATACAAAAATTATTGTAGCTGTTAGTTATACGAGATGTAAATTATGAGATATAAGTTATGCAAAATACGAGATGTAAATTAAGGGGAAAGTAAGTTATGCGATATGAGAAATATGCTAGTTGTTAGTTAACGAAAATGTTAATTATGTAAGATGTAAGTTATACGAGATGTAAATTATGTGAGATGTAAGTTATACGAGATGTAAATAAGGTGAGATGTAAGTTTTATGAGATGCAAGCTATACAAAATAAAAGCTTTGGGAGATATACGTAATTTAAGATTTGATTCCTGTGATATTTAAGTTATTTGAGATGTATGTCACTTAAGAGAAAGGAAAGTGATCTAAAATTTATTTAAGATGTAAACGGAGGTCTATGTTTGACTTTATATTTTTATTGGTAACATGTCGGATTTTTTTTCATTTAACGAAGGTGTTATTTTTCGCTGCAGTTAGAAATATCAACTTCTCCGATTTTAACCAATAAATACACAGAATGTGAAACAAATTAAAAAAAAATAAGATACCATGAGACAGCTTTAAGTGTGTATGTCAAAGAAGTCTGACGTCATAAACTGAGGTATCGCTCCACAACCTAAAGGGGTTCAGACTGTCTTGAGAAAATTTTTACTGTTTGTTACAGGGACATTTTCTTCATTGAAAATATCTAGAAATATGTAACAGATTAATTTCCGTCGAATACCATTTATTTTTCACTCGAGCTAGCCATTTGTGAAATTAATGAAATAAAAACCAGAAGACTTGTTTGGATTTACAAAACAACATATTTATTAGAACACAAAAGCATGTTCCAACTCACCATAAACAACACTCGCTCATCAAATACACAATTGTTTACAATCATCAGCACGCTCTCTCTATACGTCACAAACACCTGACACATCAATAACATCACGTGATATGGTATTAACTCTCACACTGCATTATGCTATAATTAACTCATGAGATTTATAAGGAATGTAAAATGGTTGGAATTTTTGTTTTACTTTTTAAATGGGCTTTAACAATCAGTCGGCTACTATGATAAAATCAAAGTTCGTTGTAAATACGAAACTAACGGCCTGTGTTATATGATATGAGTATTTTTAATATTTTGAGAATCTCGTGAGAGTTGTATGTATCTCGTGAGACTGGCTCACGAGAGTTGTCTGTGATTGAAGATAGGTATTCAATACGACAGATTCAGGCAACATACCACGTATAGTCACAGCATCAGTCTATTGTTTATCTCTGTACAAATTCGTCACATTTGTTTCTTAATCATGCGATTGTCGTCGGCGACATAACCATATAAGGTAAAATTACGTCATGCTTTGGTGACGTCACAGTTTCCAGAAAGCACTTGGCAAGACAAGTTCTGGACAGTGTCCGGAGGTCGCACTGACACACTTTGACCGTTGGACGATGTGTGTGTGTGTGTATTCCTTGTGTGCATTGCACACAACTTTTCAATTACATATCACGCTCGTCTGTTCATATATACAGACAACCCAACAACTGTGTTTGTCCTTTTTGTTCAAGAAGACAACAAGCTTTGTTCGGAAAAGCCATTCGGTGCAATCTTTGAGACTTGGCACGGGACCTGGGCACTGGTATGGACAGGACACTCCATATCGGGAGTTCACTATAAATAAATAGAATTATATATTTCTTCTCTTCACAATACTTGAAATTTTGGCCATGATGATGTGTCCTTATATTCTAGGCAATCGTTATGGTTACCGCGAACTAAGGTCTGGGGACCCGGAAGTGTTCCGTATGACGATACCTGCTGCGCATGCGTATTCGATATACCGGACATTGAGTTACTCATTTGGTTGGACATGACTGGAAGCTGCATATGGTTGAGATAATCCATGCTACCGTGGTAATATGACGAATGACCGTAGTTCTGATGAGGGTAAGCAGCGGTCTGGGAGTTGCTCATAGGGTAACCTCCCCTTTGCATACAACTGTTTCCGTTCATGATGTCATTCACTGGAGGAATGGAGGCGGGGCTCCAGATTGAAGAGCCTGTGTTCATGGAGACGTTGGAGACTGGGCTACTAACCACGGGGGGTTTCCCGTACCCCGGGGATGACGCTGGAGGAGGGGGAGACTTTGACTTCTTGGGTGTGGATGGTTTTGGTTTGCCTTCCTGTGCCTTTTGCTGCTGACGACACTTCGCTCTCCTGTTCTTGAACCAAACCTGTTAAACAGAAAGAGCAGAAACGTAAATAAAATTGTTTCAAAATACATCTATATCAATAAAAACCACGATATACGCTCAATATAGTGTGACATGTAAAATAATAAAAATAATACATTTACCCATAATTCTGCAGAATGCAGTTATAAAACAGTGTTTTGGTGGTGTAATCTATTTCGGAATGAATTTATTGTTTAAATAACTGTTAGAATTCAGTATCTAATTACATATAGGTGTAGTGTTTTATTTCATTTTTTTTTTAAATTTTAATTTTGAAATATCTTTTTTTCATCTCAATTCAATACACTCGTTTAACATTTCAATTCGATTAAAAACTGAAGGTTTTGAAATTTAAAGAAAATATTTTACACACTTCAGCATTTTTTCTTATTTCTTTTTAAATATCAGTACCTAGCATGAAATTTATTAATCGCTGGTATTCGAAAATGATATGCAAATAATCATGGTCACTAAATGTCTAACTGCACATTGATAGCCAATCGACACGCCGAACTGTTTTTCAATGTATTTGGTCTTTCAATAGCCTAGCACAGCTTTTCAAAGGCATCACAGAAAAGATTGTCAAACCAGTAAGAATTATACTAATATATACTAACTTATCATTTTAGCAATATAAATTCATTGCAAATCATTTTTCTAAATCGTCCATACTTCATCAAATACGTAATGGTATCAAATAAATTTGACTATATGAATTGACACTGTCAGGATAGTCCATCGGCTATTTCCCATGTGTCGAGTGTCAAAACGACCAATGTTGACCAATGGTCAAGTGTTACGAAATCTACATTTGAGGATAAACTGACCATTTCAGATATTCATCCAAAACGTGTTGACCTAGTCAGGTATTTTGGGAGGGATTTCAGGGTTAGAAAATAGCCCGGGGGTAAATGTCCCTCTGATGGACATAGATTTGTGTACAATCCTTAACAGAGCAAACATCCCTGATGGTATCCACGGCACAGGTAAAATATTGAATGTTCACAGGTGCGATAAAGAAACGGAAACGAAGACCTTCCCCATCGTGTCACCGTATACACACATCTATATCTGGCACGTCACGGTCACACGCTTCATTTAACACAAATTGGTACACTTTCTAAATATTTTGGTTTATTTTTCTTTCATCTCCTATTGGATTCTAGCTGAATATAAAGGTATTAGAATCTTAACGTGTTTCGTTAACGCTGAAGCCACTGTGTGTGGTACACACTACCCAGTACATTGGCCTGCTACACCTTATTGATATACAACCGCAATTTCAATTGAATAACAAATTATTAAAAACCTCATTTCCGGGCTAAATCTGAACAAAGTATAGCAACTCTATGTTTAAACACCTGGTCGGATGTTATTGCCAAACGAAATGAATACCATATGAACGATTTGTCACTCTATCATTCCCCCTCTCTCTGTCTCTCTCTGTCTGTCTGTCTCTCTCTAACATTTCAATAAGATGTAAATAAAGGTATACTTATTAATGCATTCAAGATATCGATATTAGTGATTTACGAATATGATATATCGATATCAATATTCTACTTTGATTTCGATTTAACACTAAATACCCGTTGTGTTTCGCTGAATCTAACTTCCAAATAATTTAAGACAAAATCATGGCTTACCTGTACGCGAGACTCTGGGAGGTTGATTTTCAGAGCTACCTCCTCCCTCATGAAAATATCGGGGTATCGGGTTTTCTGGAAAAGGGCTTCAAGAATGTCCAGCTGTGCTCGTGTGAACGTCGTTCTCTCTCGGCGCTGTTTTCTGTTATTTGCACCTGTAAAGAAACAAAATAAATGAAAAATTAGTAAAAGTTACGAAATATAACAAAATTTTCCATTCACCTTTACACAGTCATAATTAAATAGCCAGCCTGTTGCTAACTCTCGGGGTTTCACACTCTCTCGAGTCTGGCAGCAATCGACAAACACGACATTACCCATTTGTCAAAGTGGCGTCCATCTTACAATAAACCTGATGGCGACCATATTTATGGCACGGCCTCCTGCAATACTTCAAATCATATTTGCATTAAGAACCCTTAAGCAATAAGGTCCCCAAACATACATGGCTCTCTATATCAAGGATGTTGTCACGGACCCTTATTTTTGAACACGGTCAATCGATCTGTATTTCGTCTCACTCACAAATATCCTTTCGGCTCATCTTGACTCTCTCCAATACTAAACACAACACTACACCGCCGCCAACAAAACAGATCAGTGAAAGTTTACAAACTAAAAATTGCTTTCTCGGGTTTTTCAATAAGGACAGGGCGACTCCATGATAAAAATGCAGGCTCTATTCACACTGTCGCAGTCTTGTGAATACCTAAACGTGACGCGAAGAATACAGAAGCGATGGACGACCGCATTCATGTGAAAAACTTGTGCCCGCTCACATATTTCTTCAATCGAAAGTGCTGGCAAATTGAAGACACGACGAAAATAGCTAGGTAGGACAGCGGACGGCAGCTGTTCCGTCATTGTTTCATAGAAAGTTGTCACGGACGTAAGGTAGAAATGGGCTTGTGCTCCGACAATGATGTATATACTCTAGACGCGGCGTGCGTGTTTCACATACACAGCATCCGAACTTTTGTTCTGTTTTTGTTTATAATTAAAAATAACTTACATTGTATAACAAGAAATATTTAAATTAAATTTGACATTTTAAAGCTAAGTCCTACTCCTGAATATCAATTTCAAGGGACACACTAGCAGTGTAGGTTTAGTTCGGAATTTAAAAAATCAATTCGAATTCAACGTAAGATTATATTTCACAAGTCGGTCAGGTAATTTATTTTCTGTACTATTCTGCAGATGTGGCCCATTTTAGAAAATATTTGTAACTTCTCATAAAACTTATAACAATCCAAAAATATTTTCAACTGTATATTAAATCATAACAATAAAAAAATTGTAATTGTTTATTAAAATTGTAGCAATTGAGTCTCATTAAAGATATTTCCATCAGAAATATCACAACAAGTTGGCTCTGATCAATAAAAAGATGGCATTATCAGACAGACTGAGGGCCTGTCCACCCTACAAAGTCCCATGGTCTTCTAACTATAGTCCAGAAAATTGTAACATGGTTTTTCTCCCAGCGCTCTATTGGATTAAAATCGTGTATCAAATCATTCCGTATGTGAACCAGTATGTTATCATTGATATTTCCATTTTCTCCTTTCCTACGTTTTTACCTGGTGGCCAGATCGATACCTGGCCAAATGCGGCATGCCTAGAACGTGGAGTCTATCGGTACAAATCAATCAGCAAGCCACACCATACAGACACCGAACGCAGGCAAAGTATAGGTTAGCTTCGTAGATTTTGCAACTATTTATGTTTATATTTACATATTTTTTAAATCAAATATGAAAATAATTACATATTTGATATATTTCTTATATTCTGAACATTTTGAATCCCCACAAGTATATAATTAGTAAAACAACTAAAAATGATTTAAGTCCGAATCACATGACGGTAGTTGACGGTCCGGTCTGTGGGCTAACAAAGCTTTGGGGGATGGAAAGCGTTAATGACAATCGCGTTTAATACTTACAACAGGGTATCCTCCATGGATATCTACCCGATATATTTATTATTAAACAAAGATGCATTCATTGACGTTCCCCGTTCTGTAGATATCTCTTTATGATAACCGGACAAGACTTATATATTATGCAAATTGGCTGTGTGGCTGATAGCTAAATTCGAATACCTAATCGGTATTGTATCATAACTATAGTGACGGACAACACTTGAAAATACTACGCAGAAATTTGGTGAAATTTGTGTCTTAACCATATTGAAAAACACCGTATTTGTCTAGTTTAGTACCAACACATTTTTCACCATGTAAGGATGGCACTTCTACGGAAGGCAAAGCATCCTTCAAACGAAGTACCTGTATTTGTGTACCAAGATTTAATGGGATAAAACTTTCCCTAATTGAAACACACGATACGGCTTTTTATTTCGACAGGATGGGATGGGTTTCCTTGTGGGGTGAAATGACATGTAATTGCTACTAGAGAGTTCTACCACGGGTAGGACCTAATGATCGCTATGACAATTAAAGGCCCAACTCAAATTTCACGTTACGTTAGCTTCTATGTATCGCTTGTACCTCAAGTTTGGGAAAAGAATGGACAATGCTCATCGCGATGGGACCAAACCCAGTGAACAATAGTTATAAAGATGGTCACAGCTATCAACAGAATTTCCAGTCCTGTCCCGCTGTGTTCGGCTATTATCGACTGGAAAATGTCCGTTTGTGAATGGAAAGCTATAATGGATACGGGCAATAGCGAATGTGCCGGGGTGGCAAAGATAACCTGATGGTCGAATACGGGTTAGCGTAAAGTGTTCCACATGTATCAATCTTGCTCTCGTCACAACCTCCAACTTTTACACACGTGCATACCTTCCCTACCGCCAATATTCACACGTGCGTTCCTTTTCAGGCGACTGGGTCACACGTTTACATTATATCCGTCACCTGGCACCATATAGCTTTTGAAATTGACTTAAAACGACTTACTGAGGCGAGAGCTGTGTTTTCTGCATAAAATTTGACCTGTTGGGGGTCGGAACACACACACAAATATCTTATTATACCGAGTTGTTGTTGAACGGTTGTTGATGAACGCCAGAACCCAATTCAGAAATGTTAAACTGACTATTGGCTAGATATTGCAGACCGAAAATTCAGCTACATTCTAATTGTCACATCATTACAACGATGTAGAAAAATTTAGACCATAAACGTTTTCAAAAGATAATTGATAATCGGTTTACTCAAAAGCAAATATTGCGTTAGCGCTACTTTATAACACACCCTGTATAAATTAGTGAAAATATTTTATATACAAACATATGTACGTTAGTGACATTGCTATGTCTGGAGCAGTGATGACCAAAATGACGTCTGGGTGAAAACAAAGTATATTTAAGACAACAAAAGATTCGATTGGTGTCGTTGTTTATAGAGGGCAAAAGCGATAACTCGACCCAGCATTGGTCAGCATGAACAGATAACCAGTTAATCTACAGCCAGACACCGGTGGATCGTTATTAACTTGAAGACGTGGATTTAAGAAAATTTGAAAATGTACCACAACGTCAAATATGCATCTATCCATACCCTCCATATATATAATAAAGAACTGACGCTAATTAAAAAGAAAGGGAGCAGACACTGGTGTCAGATACATAATATTCCGGTTTAGGAATAGCATAACCTTTATCGTTAACATGAATAGATAAATGTGCTTCCACCCTGTGTTTGTAAGATATAAGAAGGGCCTGTGCGATTCATTTTTGTGGTACCACGTTTGCGAAGTATCTGCTTGTGGACTACGAAAAGAGCAGGTCGATCTTGAAATAATAATACCAATTTGTCTGCAGAATATATTGCTTCATAAATTATTTTTTAAGAAATATAAACAATGAAAAAACTTACCTGGATATCCCATGGCGGGATGGACAAGATCCATGTTGGGTGCGTTTAAACTAATGCCGTTGACGGTGTACGGAGGGGCTTTGTTGGCCATTGACGGCTGGCTGTACTGCATTGTGGCCATACTAGCCATGCTGGTCTGATGCATGTGAGTTTGTTGCGCGTGCAGGTTATGTTGGTGATGTTGATGAACAGATTCGGGAGATGAAGTGTCCAGTATTGGTGATTCGATTTTCACCTGAGATGAGACGCGATACGAATCGTTGTACCCGTCACTTGCTTGGCTGTGGTCAGATTCCGAAATGCCGTTGTTAGGAGCTGAAATCGTGAAAGAAATAACGGTCAAATTATCATTCTTGAAAATCTAAGCTTCACACTTGAGCAAACAACAGAAGTGTTATTTATGGTCAAGACATTTATTGCCGAAAACAACGTTTTTTTTTAAACACACAACGAATAAAAAAAAATGTCAATCTAAAATAGGTGTAAATAACTGTTTTGTGAGTAAATTGATTTCCCCATAATTTCTCAAAATGAATAAACAACACAGACAAAAATCAGAAATGCAAACACGAATAAATAAATAAATAACGTAGAAAATAAAAGTATTTCAAACGAACAGAACGAAGGAGAAGATACCTCGTGCGTTAAATAAATAATTACCTGTAATTCCACTAGAAGTTATCAACGAAAATACAAAGTCTGCTAATGGAGTCGTATTTACATTGCACTTAAAACTGTCGGTAAAAACTAAACACCTTCTAAAGAATACCGTGTTTAAAAGCCCTATGCCACTAGGCTAAATCCACGGGAACCGTTTAAACCGATTTGCTGTATTCCCAGTAATGTTCTTGTAACCGCGTGGACAAGAGGTGTTGCTACCTGTCCACTCGTCCCTTTATTGTGACGTACAAGCGTCCATCTTTGTTTTATTTTTATTTCCCTTTTCACTTTTGGAACCACCCCTCGCGGTGACATGAAGTTATAAAAGACGGTTTGTTATTGGTCAAGGGTGGTCATGTCGACCAATCAGCGACAGCATATGTTGACATTACTATCAACATCCCTTAATGGGCACAGATAGCCCTTCTCCCTTTCACGTATCAATTAATTAATAGGGGATCAAGAGGACACGAAACGTGGGGATATTAAACCCAGCGACCCCTTAAATACTTGCCCTATAACAAAAAGGGAAGGGCGAGTGAAAATAATAGTGTTTTTGCTTCATTTACTATACAAACAAATTGAACGTCTTTCTAAGCGATGCTGATGATGATGATGATGGTTGAATTTCATTTTTTTAAATTGTATATATTTTGGACTATTTAAAAAACCATAAATAAGTAAACAGAAAATCGTACAGCTTTACGAAACTGTCTTACATGTCCTTCAGAATTAAACGAATATTCAAAATCAATATTAATGCATCTAATCGAAAAACTACACGAAAATAAATATAACTTAGAACAATTTTTAATCTGAGCAAAGAAAGCGTGTAATTAGCCGATTCTGAATAGGTTTTAACCAATCCGTAAATCAACTTTCAGTACAAACATGTTTTTCTTTCTGACCTAAATTAGCGTTTTGTCTCATCCTACTAATCAAATCGATTTGATGAAGAGAAAAAACAGGGATTTACTTTTATAGTTCAGGAAAATAAGAAAAACAGAAGCAACGAAGTGAAGGATTCGTGTGGAATTTTGTTTCTGAGACTGATACAGCAGAGAGAAAAAACGCGGGAATGAACCAGCGTCTGCTGTTTTGTTAGTTCAATACAGCAATTGAGGTTTTGTGAAGAAAGCGTATTTTAGGATTTGTTGAAAATATATTATGTTTGTACAGTGCGTCGAACCGTCGACGAATCCCACGAGACTCGCGTCAACTTTTCCATCGTTTGAGTTCGAGGTTTTTCTGTATTTCTCTATATACATACCAATAGCACACTGAAACAGAGCGGCATTGTGAAAGTGGAATATTTCTAATTTGATGATGGTTTTACAAATAAAAGCCGTCAATGAATGCATGTCACTCCTACACGTGCAACCGTGGCCCCCGCGCGTGAATCACCGGAGTTTTTCGCGCTATCGAACGCGCAAATAATTCACTAATTGAAATCTAACTACAATTGTTGTTATGGTTTTGTAATAAGCATATGGATTGTCGCTTGTCAATTTCTCGTCGATTCTATGTTTAGAGTAAAAATAAGGGAAACAAAAGTAAAAATCGCTTCCTACGGCAGACAAACCAGAACATATGTCATATTATATACCAGAACACTCCTTTATACCAGAAAATCCATTTATTTTACGGCCTTTATTTTATTGATTGACAAGACCGCGTGAGCTTCATGTCTTCAATTTATATTATGAAATAGATTTCTTATGCAAGAAAAATTTGATCAATATAAAATCTTTATAGAATCTGTTAAGCAGAATCAACAATAAGATTGTTAATGTCTCATTTCTCTCACTTTGAAATGAATCCGAGTCGGATTTTGAATAATTCATTGGGGATTGGAATTTATTAGTTAATAGGAAATGAAGAAAATCAAGATATTTGAAAGAAAAGGAAATGTCAGTTACCGCCAAATCATCGGTATTTTACAATTGACAATAGCAGAGACAAATCATAATGTCTAAATAATAATAACAATTACTAAACGTTTTTACTTAAAAGTAAATTTTATAAACTAAAAAATAACCACATAATTGTAAAGGATATAGTTTTCGCACACAGTGTCAAGAAATATATTATCTAACAAGCCTAAGACATTCTTAGTCGTTCGGTAGTGTGTAATAATTATACAATATATATTTGGGACCAAAAAATGTAAAATTAAAATAGATTCATTGAATATTATAAATAAAGTCTTTGACATAATTTACACATACCAAAAAAATCCCTGTTGTAATATTTTTCATAGACTGTTGTGTGTATCAACAATTTCAAACGAAAATTTGCAATTTCTTGGTATAGAAATACAATTATCCTAGCCATCATATTTGTCTAATTCATTTCAAATAAAGATCCTTCAGGTGATGAAATAAAACACCATAGGGTTTTCACCTGTACAACACTAAATAGCGGAATATATTTATTTAACAATGTTTTTTAGTATTCCATATTTTTTAGAGTTAAATTTTGAAATAAAACAGAAAAGCCGCCATCGGACTATTTTATTTGGACTGTTCAGGCGTTTATCGATAATTGATATATAAAGATATATTTAAGGAGTAAACCAGAAGTGTTTGATAAATTACTTAAATGACATAAACATTCACATGTTTATTTAGATGTTCAAGGCCTTTCAATTTATTTCTTACCTAGTTTGTTCTCGTTATTGAATTCTGATTATATTATCATTAATGTATATCTATATGTGTACAATAAATAGAATAAATTATCCTACGTAAATACACTTATCAAGATGATGTTCAATTCAATTTCAATTCAGTTAATTCCAAAAGCAGTACAGCTTATAGGAGTCATAACATATACATGTATTTAACATAGTAAAATTAATTATACACACGATAATGGAGGCTGAACAATGTGAAAACAATTTTACTCGTTAAAATGTACTACACCATAACACAATAATATTACTATCAACTGTCACCCTTAATATATTTTGATCTAATATAAATAATATCTAAAATATTTAGACAGTGTCAATAAGCAAAGCAGAAAGAAATGGACAAATTGCAGTAATAGAAAATAGAGGGAAAGAAAAACAAAGCATATTATACCTGGCGAGTTATTATTTGGGTAGGCTAGGAGGTGCATATTAACAGCTGTCGGGTGCGGTCAAGGTGTGGTCAAGGTGTGGTTCAAGGAATAGTCACTGACCTAAAAGTGAGGGACAAGAGAATATAACGTCCACACAACACAACAACCAAACAACAACAGAAATTAAAAAGAATAACTATCTTTAATAACTAAATCCAGTCCTTGATAAACTAGTAATTTATTTCAATTGGTGATGATCTAGTTATTTATTATCAAATCTAGTAATTATTTTTCAACCGTCTATATTATACTTAGCTTCAATCGATTTTCTCATATGATTAAAATTAGTCCAGATATTTTAATTGATTTAACAGTCATTTTTAACTTCAAAATAAAGATGTAAATTTTTATACCAACATTAATGTTATATACATGTTAATCTAATTCAAATCCAGATTTTCTAAATAAAATTCCTCTCAATTCGCCAAATTTTGATAATATTATATCTTCATCAGAATAAAATTATTTCATTTGCAGCAGTTCAGTTAAAATTATTTCTTAGTTAATAATTGAAATATGAGGTCGATGTGTGTTTATTTTCTTGTAAATAAGGCTATGCCATGAACATTTGAAATGTGCCATTTAGACAGACCGGGTATGTTTACACGAGTTTGCCTTGTCAATACTAGTTGAAGGTTTGCTTTAACGATTTTCGCCACACTCTCGGTATAGAAATGCCAGCTACACAAACGGACACTCAAACACATGTTAATAAACAGTTTTCTTACAAATTAAAAGCGCAAACATCCTTTCAATCTAACTATTTCCAAAGTGGCGGAGGTAATACGGAGAGTCATTATCGGAGCACAGGAAGTATTTGTCGAGTACAAATTTACACAGAATGGTCTGTTTTTTAAAAGGAAAGTGAATGTACCACAGTACTTGTTTACTCTTACGGTACTGGATTGACTTGGTAAACGGACGGCTTTGCTTGATAATCAATTGATGCGATGCTGTGAAAAGTATCAATTCAATAAAATCAAACTACCCGTCTTTAAAACGAGTTTATATGATATTGTTGAATGTGAGCGAAGAAAATCAGAACCAGACGTATAATTAATTATGTTATTATTGTAAACGTTTTTAGTAAAACTACTGGATATACTTTAAAATATCTATTATGGCCCGATCGTGCCTCTCCTGTCGGGAAATGTTACTGAGTAAATAAAATCGGGGGAAATCGAGACCGTTATGGTCAGTCTAAGTGGACAATGGACCCAAGTACAAACACTGGTTTTCAAGTACCGTTTCCTGGGATACCAAATGAAGGAAGAAAAATTCTTCACTAAAATTAGGTGTGTACATTTTAAAATCGACTTGACCTTATTCAGATATGAAAATATTGACTATCGTGTTAGTGACTCGTTAAAGTAAACGGTTGAATAATTTTTCGGCAATGGTCAAGATGAAAATGCTGACTTATTATGTAACTTGAGACAGCGTGGTCAGAGAATCTGAAGTGGACCCAACTAGGGCTAACATTTACACAAGGTCAGTTTCCTGTGTTTTCCTTCCATAAGTGTCTGAAGGTCAAGTTTCAAATACGGTATCGAATATTGTATGTGTCACATCGCAAGCGAGATAGCCCCAAGTAGCGTCGTCACCCTCCAAATGTGCAGGGCTGAATCACACCAACCTAAAACTTTGGTCAGTTTTACACATGTTGAAAAATTAATTATCAAATAGCCAAGTCCAAAATAGTTATAAAAAAAATAAAAAAAGGAAGATATTCTATATAGAAATAAATGATAATAAAATAAAAAGTGTTCATTTAAAATAAAGTACAAGTATAAAATTGGATGAAAATATTTGTACCATTTAGATTAAACCTGGATAAGGAAAAAGGATATGTAAACTTAGGATATAATAAGGTAAAGCTGCGAGTTATACTAGTATAAAAACCCAGTGATCTGTTCAGATTTATAGTAGTATTTCAGTGTGATACTTTGTAAGTTGTATAATATTTATAATTAAGATTATCAGGATAATCCTTGCATATCCACTTTATTCCTATTAAATTATTATCTCCTTTTCCACGACTGATTATAAGAAAAAAAATCAGAATATTGTTCCTTGTACCGTACGTAAGGACGCTTTTCCCCTCCTTATTTATGTGTACAACACACTTAATAATATATGGTGATTATTATCTTTAAAACAAGAGAATAAAAACGCTTCAGATAGGTCCAGCGGTAGCTTACCTTCCAAGTCCTCGGCCGTCACTTGGTCTGACAAGAGACGAGGGATATCGGAAACAGACATTGTTGATAACGGAAACGTTTTATAAATGAAATGTATTCACTTGACACCGATGATAACTAAACGATAACAGCGCACTTTTCACTACTGTATCAGACCACCAACAAGCCTGGGAAATGTTGTGTCCGGGCCGTGTTTAACGGTCTATGTGAGGTGTATCCACTGGTCACCCTATAACCTATAGGTGTTTTACGGTCACTCAAGCGGTCAGTCTATTGTTCTATTCGTCGTGTCCAGTCTTGTGTCCGGTGCTGGTCCGAATTTTTTAAAACGTTTTTTTCTTCTTATGAAATCCGTTATATTGATGGTGAATAAATAATTTTATAATTTATTTGTATTAAAAAAAAAGTTATTGGAAATATAGATCAAGTTCATCGCGATGGAATAAATGATGAAATAATTGTGGAAGTGTTTATGTGTGTTTATAATGGATACTGTTGAATGATATTAGGGGCGCACTTTTAAAATACAGTTAGAAAAGATTTTAGAGGATTTAAAAAATCTGGATCAAATCTCTTAATCCGAAATAGGGTATTGAAAAACACTTACCTTCTATGGTCATTCAGCACACTTCCAATGGTTGGCAAGAACTGTTCAGATTCACCTGTTGGATATAGGGATAATCCGAATTAGTGTTTCTGACAGCGACCGAACAGTTTAGTGAATTCTATTCAGTGACCAAAATCACGTGAAAGTTTTACCCCAACAAAATGGTTTGCTTATATGACTACTCTGGACATACCTGAAGACGAGCACGGTCGAAATTTCCAAAAAATAGTTTATGAAGATTAGACAGGAATCTAAGAACCTAGCTTAACCGTGTAAAACTGAGCTTACGGCACGGACATGAATAAATAATAATGATTGATCTTCAGCCTCGACCAGCTTTTCTATCATGTACTCACAACAGATAGAAGACACGCCCACTATATCTGCGCTAGCCAATCAGCGATCAGCTTTCTTGAACTCTTCGCTCAAACCCACTAGCGCGTGAGAATAATGTAAATTTCCTAACAGTGACAGATGAAGTGATCTATTTCAATACTTTTGTTGGAAATGAAATAAACCAGAATAGCTAATATTTAGAAAGATACTTGAGATTTCCGATAATTACCAATTCACGGAGTAAGGTTGAGATTTAAAAAAAAAAAATGTTGCAAAATATGATGGGGAACTTTCCTTGTAAAAATTAGATATGTTTTTTCGTTGTAATAGTAAATTTATATATCACTGTTATTGATCGGATTAATTAAAGAAAAGATATTTTTATTTTCATTTTGGTATAGGTGACCGTTCGTAAGAGGGACTTTTTGTATAAAGTGCAAAATGTTTGTTGCAGTTGAAACGTTTTTCCAATAACTTTTAACATCGATATTTTATAATTAAGAACAGACATATCACTTTTTCAATATGTTATATTGTACTTATCATTTATCAAATGTTTTCGTATTTATGATAAAAATCATATTTTGAGGGAGGGTTTGGGTCAAAATGCTGCTATGTATATTACTTATAAAGGGACACGGTTTGAAATCGCTCTGACCTAGGAACATGCTGACATTTCGTAGTATAATTAATTTCTAAAAAACCTTGATGACCAGTATTTCACCTAAAAAAACCAAATATATGATTATTTAATCAGAGAACGATCAATATCCAATGTAATTGTGGTGTCGAAACTACGGAGTAAATAAGATTGAGTGACAGATGAATCTCTGTACATAAACAGCTATAGCTCAATTCGTCTTTTTTTTCCCAATTAATTTTTGACCTTGGGTAGCGACATTGTTATACAATCAACCTCGCCGGCCAAGTTCGTAGAGGTACCAATTGCTCAAATGTCCTGTATGTTTTTGACCTTTTTGTTAAGATCATTTTTGAAATGCTAACACTTGCAGTTTTCGGTGTAAATTTCAATAATTAAAAAAATATTGAGATTTTTTTCCGTAACTATTCTGTTCAGATAATGCGATCACCCAGTAGATTATCGTATTTTTATCATCTGATTTCATTTAATTGGCCACAGGGACTGGACACTATGCCTCCTGCTCAATTCCATGTAAATCTAACCGAAATAAAACACAACCATTATTTACATATACATGTAATGGACACATTCCTGTCCACACCCTTCAGTGGTGTAATAAACATTATATCTAAATGTTTAGATGTTTCTTAATTTCGCATCAATTTAAATCAAAATCAGTGATTGAAAACAATTGAGCTTGCTTCTTTAGTGAGTTCTATGGTTTCTGGAGAGTCCTTAGTCGCATTGGTTTTTGAGTTATCTCTTTCAAATTTCCACAAGTCATCTCTAAAATACATGACTAATTTATAAAATTTGTTGCTAAAATTTTATCTATGTCATTTTAGAGGCGTATGTACTCGTACTGTTCTTTTTCCTCATTCTTTACTTCCTTCGTTCTTCCTTGTACTTCCATGATAAATAATTTGTAGTCATTTGTATAAATAATTATGAAAGTCTAGGAAAGAGAGAACTTTTGGTAAAAATGTTAAAATAATCTCAAAGCACTTCAGTATGATATTGCACATAAAACATTGTTGATATCTGTCTTATTTCAGGAACGTCTTTGTATATATAGTGTGCACATGTATGATACTCTCGCAGAGCGCAACATTCCTAGAAAACAATCAAAAATAACAGAGAAGGAAAAACAGAACGACATTCAATGTCATCAACGCAGCCACCAAGACAAAAAATCTATTTTCAAATTTTATTTTAACACGTATTTGATTTCGAAAGACTATTTTCTATCCTGGCCAAACATCGATTTTGCACGAAAGTTATAATTCCTCGATTCGAACGCCTCACATAATGACTGTCACTGAACACTTTACCAGGAGAAATGATACATATTCACCGTTGTTCACGTCACCTCTTTAAAACCGGAGTGAAGAAGAAGGTTAAGCTGTGAGTAAAATGAGTCCATACAATGTGATACATCCATGTACTTTATTAGACTGGCTAAAAGCGCAGTTTAGCTCGACATTTATATAACCAACCCGACAATAAACACATGATAATTCCCCTGATCTCCTTTCCGAACGTAATTTGAAAGCGCATTAAAACTATATAAATACGTATTAAAACAAACATCAGAAATGGGATATAGTTCGATACTATCAGATTATAATTTATTACCGTTGAATTAATCTCGAAAATTACAATAACAAATATACGGATCGTTTTGTTTATTTATTATTTTAAAGAATTTTCATTCTCTTTATTTTCAATTCAAACATTATTTTCGAGAATTAGCAACATATTCGGAGGTGAACCCCAGTACGGATCCAAGCCATGACAGTGTGATATTAGGGAAGTATACGGGAGTTCTGAGAGAGCCGACTCTCGGATTATTTGATTAAATCGGAGTATGGTGCGAGAATTACAATCATTGTTTAATAAATCTAGAGAAAGCGTTCACCAAAATAAAGTCGTGAAATCCCCCTAATTAACTTGTAAACATCCATAATGAGGTTTACGGGCTCGAGCGAAGAGCGCGTGTTCAGTATGGTCGGCTTACGGTACACACCGCTCGGGGGCTACAAAGAGCCGCGCCGCTAATTAATGAGCGATTAGCAAGGACAAGCAGAGGCGAATACAAAATCACCCGTGGTTGGTACCGCAAACAAACGCCGAGAAGACCTAAAAACTGAGTTCATTTTCTTCCTCTTTGAAAATTAAAAGACTCATTTTTTTTACTCATAACATCAAACATGTATGGATGCGTATGAGTTCACTAACCGATCAGCAGGTAACAAACAGGTGTTAATTATATATGTAACTAATCACCTTATCGACATGACGAGTTACTTATCCTCTTTTCTCACCTGCCGGACAGGTAAATGGTTTCCAGGTAAACAGGTAAGGTCATGCAAGAAATCTAGTTATCATAATAAAGTCGGTTCGATCTCCTGGCATGGTGTTTTTGTTGCAATTTCATTATGTATGTATACATTGCTAATCTGTGAAGTCTGTATCAAACCCGTTTTTACACGAATTATCTCACAATCGTGTCTTATCGTTGGAGTTAGTACCGGTGTTTTTTTAGTGCCTGCCACTAGTGGACATTGGTCAGTGTCTTGACGTAGGGCGTGTTTGTTGTTGGTCATTTCCTGGCACAGAATGGGATGGACACTGATAAAAATGTACACAAGGACTCCGGACTTCATCCGGTCAACCAAACTAAACGCAAACATCACCACACTATTTATATTATACAAGAAAAGTTCTGACCATTAGCTAAGAAAACACAAACAAACACGACAATATTGCCAACACGGCTAAAATAGCATTCTATATATGTTTTCTTTTCTGACATGTGCCTATGGAGAAGTTATTATTTAAATTTCTCCGGTGGATGTTAAAATTTGTAATGATATGGATATAAAAAGGCGTACCCATCAAACAACGATATTCTATATGCATGAATAATTTGCTGTATAAGTCTCCTTGCCATCTGTCTTAAAATTTTAGAGGAAAATAAAAATGAATGCTTTAATCAATTTAAAATCAAAGCTATCAACTCATTTTCCCTTACTAAATTAGCTAAATCATTTAAGGCTTGAGAAAGATTATTCATTAAGTTGGGTGCCATTTTTATTCGAAAAAATATAAATAGGAGAAATTATTTGTGGAAATTAAACACTTTTGAAAAGTAAAATTAGGATGATTCCATAAATAACTAAAACTATTGTAGACTCTTTATGATAAACTCGAAATGAACAAAATCTCAAACAAAATCAACAAATTTATATAATATAAATATAAGTAATTATAGAGTTGATGACCCCCTCGCCTTTCCCACACAAAAAAAAACAGAAACAAAAAAAGCAACCGAAAACACGATTCAAAATCCGCAAAAATTCATACTGTTAGTTCATCAATTGAGTCACTGGTGTCGATTTTTTATTTTGAAGGTGGAATAAAAATCTGAAACCGAGTTTTTAGGTCTTTAGGATAGTCAACGATTGTTCGGTATTTTATTAATTCAAAGCAGAGGTGCTGTCTGCTTTAACGGTACTTCGTGGTATTGTTAGAATCATATTTCGGTTTGAAATGTAAATTTCACAAAATGAAATTGTAGTCGTCGTGCATTTCGGTAGATTACGATCAATATAATGTTTAACTGAAAGGTCGGTACTGTAGCCAGTCGTTTCAATTAAATGCTTTACAACTTTGTATACAGCACATCATAAAATCATAGATAATGATTTATGCACTTTATCTAGAGATGTTGCTTGCTAATATATCTAATCATATACATGTCAAAGATATGAATTGTTGCATTATATTTAATACGCTTTATAATTAGTATAAAAAATATTAATTCAATATTCAAATATGTTAATTACATACATATAATTACACTTGGATTGGAAAACAAGTTTAGTGCTTATATTGATTCTTTCCCAAGTATATATTACAGGCACCTTAACTACAATATTAATTTGAGTCAGGTAAATTAATTATTTGTGCCATATTTTTTTTATAAGACAGGGATCTGAGAATTTGTTACAGCTATATTTGGACCTTAACTAAGGTGTTCAGAGAACATGGTTTAGGGGTTTAGTTCGACTTTCGGTAAAAATGACACCTCCAATGATCAAATATAAGATCATCATTTGGGGTTTCATTTTTACCGAAAGTCGGTATAAACCCTCAAATCATGTGAAATTACTCTTAAACACCTTAGTTTAGGTCTAAATATAGCATCTCCCTCTGCACTGCACATACACAAACACACATATACGCACACAATACCCTTTATAATTGTCGTGATATTGTGTTTTTTCTTTTCTTTTAGGCTTTACAGCTCCTCGACACAAAAAGTTTTTACAAAA